ATCCCGAGAATTTAGAAAATTACGTTGAAAGTTTAATTAAATGATTTTAATTTATAAAACTGTAGATTTTTGCCTTGCCCGAAGGGTAACTGCTAAACTTGTCTATATATAAAAAATGTAAATCAAAATATTTATTTTTTAACCCTTCTTTTTTCAAGTTTTGGAAAGTTTTGTTCTAAAAGCAATAGCAATGTTGTTTATTTGATTATTTTACGTATAGAATAGAACATTCACTATATTTTTTTGTGTTGTATTCAAAAATTTAATTTCAAAGGTGTGTTGCAGCAGCTTTTATACAAAATAAAAATAACAAATTATGAACTCTAAACATAAATGTATAAACTTAACGCGAGATACAAATAATCAAAAGCATACATTGTATTTAAAGTCTCGTTTTAAACGGAATGGCTTAAGCTAGTCTATATATATAAAAAGTTTGAATTTGGATATTTATTATTTTTTAACCCCTCTTTTTTACAAAACTCTGTGAAATAATTATTAAGAAATAACAATTTATCATAGTTGACCATATTATGTACACCTTTATATTCTTAATATTTTTATGGTTTGTTTATTTAAATTAAAAATGTGTGCTGTTACATATTTCAATTCTAAGTAAAAGAGCTTAATTTTATAATCTAAAATAATACATACGCGGGGCTTAAGGACATTATTTACAATTTCAATAAAAGAAAGCATGCATCGAACTTAAATTCCGTTTTAAACGGGATCAATGTATATAAAAAGTTTGAATCTGGATATTTATTATTTTTTAACACTTCTTTTTTTCAATAAATAAGTAAAATTTTTTGTATTTTTTATTAAGAGCGAGTAGCAGTATTTTAGGAATATTTTCTCTAAGCATTGTGCCGTGGAGACATTGAATTACATAATAATAAGATTAAAAGTAAAATAGTCAAATATAAAACAATACTCTGAAATACAAAGGTTTCGGAGTGAGAATAAAAGTATTTAAGCAAGTTTAATAAATAAATAATGTTAAATGAGAAATTTAAGTCATTTATAACCAAACTATTATCTTGGAGGATAAAGGTAGTGACACACGGAACAGTGTTTTTGTGCATTTTCTTTTGATTTTGTTTAGTTATTATAAATCTTATACGAGGTGTTTATAGCAAATTTTTATTTATAATAAAAAAAGCCAATTTGTAATTAAAAATAATAAAATAAGTACATACTCAAAGGCGCATCATATCCATTAAAAATAAAGAACACACATTATGTTTGTAATCCCGTTTTCAATGGGATAACGTAAGCTAGTTATACATATAAATTAAAAAAGGGTTGATGTTAATTATACGCTGTTTTCGAATAAAAATATTAGTAGCCCCTAATGACTAGAAAATCTAAAACTGAAATTGTTGAAGCTGAGAGGGCATATAGCAATGAAGATATCTTAACTATTACGATCAATGAAGCTTTTATTGACAATATGTTTACAGATACTAGTACATTAAACGCAACACTATGCAAATTAGGGCTTCTTACTAATACTATGACATTGAGCGAATGTTAAAGGCAGTCCCGAATGCCATGTATAAAGCGCAAAACTGCACATATGGGTATAATTGGGCTTGCAAAAGGTTATGTATGCACAATGCACACATGTTCATTAAGAACAGTCAGTTTTTTTGATTCATTCAAAATTTGTGTAAAGACCATTTTGCAAACTATCTATAAATACCTTTCTGGAATATCATTCATAGATTCCGCATATGAATTTGAATATTCCTGCAAACAGCAAGTGGAATAGTTGATTTGGTTAGAGAATGTATTTGTGAATATATGGCCGCCAAAACAATTAGAACGGGGGCCAGACGAGCACGGAGTGCCAAAAGTTGTAAAAATTGGCGAAAGTCTTTTTTTTAAAAGAAAATATAACTGAGGAAGGTTTAAAAGTGACAATGATAAATTGGTGGTATTGAAAAAGGATCCAAAAAATGTTTTATTTTACCTGTAAAAAATAGAAACGCGGTTACCATCACACAAATAATTTCTGAAAATTTATACCTGTTAAAATTATTGTAACAGATGAATTGCGTGCACATAACGCTGCACTTAGAACTTTAAATTTATCCTCTGTGCCGGATTATGTCAATGAAACGATAAATCATTTGATTAATTTTGTTGACCCCTTGTGCCCTTCTGTACACACACAATCCTTAGAAGACCTGTGGTCTAGGTCTAAGTATTTTTAAGAAAAAAAGTGGACTGTCACAAGAACAACATTCTGAGTATTCGACACAACTTATTTGGCAATATCATATTGATAAGCGGAAGAGGATAAACAAATTTTCAATACTATTAGAAGCATTTTGATTTTATTATATTTTTTTCAATTTTAAAAACCAGCATATAATTAATATCAACAAAAAAACACATATAAGCCCTACAGCAAAAAAATATTGATGTTTTTAGATGAATAATTTTATAAATTTTTAATTTAAAGTAAAGCAAGAATTATAACTATAGGCACGGCTGCTCTTTGGTACGTGACAATAATTAATATAAACACAAATACATTGGGGGAATTAAAAATTAAACTTTATTTTTTTACAAAGAACTTAAACAAACCTAAATTTATTTTCTAAAAAGACCATTTAAATATACAAAAATGAATTCTTAATACTGTCAGCGAGTTTAAATAAATGAATAGAACTATTTTAAAAAAAAATTTAAATCAAAAATAAAACTTTTAAATTTTCGTCCAAAGCGCTGGCAACATTGGCAGGCAAGCGACCAGAGCTAAGGAAGCTCTCAATGATGCACGTCACTCTGCCTGCGGTAAAGCTTTTGGCTGAATTCTGTTTTTTAAATTGCCCCCGTGGGTCTACAGTGGCGTCTCTTGTGAGAAGCCCCGCGGCTGTGTTTCTTATTGTTACTTTTATAATTCATTGGGATTAGAAAAAAAATAAATTTTATACTAAAATTTTAAAAGAAGGGAAGAAAATAATTAATGTGAAAAATATTACCACAAAAACAATAAATTTTTAAATTTTATAACCATTATGTTAAAAGAAAAAAGTTTTGCTTAAGCTAAGAATTATAGCAGAATATAAAGTTGAAAAGAGTCAAAAAAAAGTTGCAGAAAAATTTAGTTTACACCTTTCCCATGTCTTTAGAACAATAAACGAATATGAAAAAAGGAACAGTTATTCAAATTAAGGTACCATGTAGAAAATCTTTATGTAATGACTATGATTTATTGTATCTTGACAAGGAAATTAAAAAGGAACTATTGGTAGTCTCAACTAAACTGGCACAAAAAAAATTTTAAAGTCAGGAAAAAGAAAGTAACTGTTAGGACTATTTGTAAAAAACAAGTTGATTTTAATTATGAAGGCAGGAAAAGAGCATGTAAACCACTTTTATCAAGAAAAAACATTCAAGATAGATTAAGACTAGCAACTGAATGGTGTTACAAAGGCGAAAGCTACTTTAAAGTATTATATATGGTGTGATTAATCTAAAACATCACTGTTTTAAGCATATTGAATAATTTATTGCCACTGGGAAGATGGTTTGCAATATGATATGAAAAAATTAGAACCTACTATAAAGCATGGTAATGGTTCAATAATTGTTAGGGGATGTTTTTCGGAGAAAATGTGTTGTAAATATTTTATTATTGAAGGTAAAATGGATAGTTTGAAATACATTACAATTCTCAACGATGATTTATTTAAAAGTGCTGAAGATTTCAATTAAAAAGATTTTTTATTTCAACAAAATAATGGTCTGAAGCACGCACTACAGCTTACGAACAAGTTTTTAAGATATAAAAGTATTAAACTAATTGAATAGTCGTCCCAATCATCTGATCTAAATCCAGTTGATAATCTTTGGTATGTTTTTAAGAAAAATATTAGTGTTAGGCGGTGCAAAAGTATTCAAGAATTAAAAGTTGCTGTAGTAAAAGAATGGAATAAGATACCTAAGGAGTTGTGCCTAAAGTTGATTTTAGGACTAAAAAAAGATATGGAGCAGAAATTTGTGAGAAAGGGGATTTTACAAGTTATTAATAAAAAAATCTGTTTTTTATTTTCCACCTAAAATTTATTTTTTTTAAACTGCTTAGCTATTTGTTTGGATATTGAAAACAAAACTAACAATACATATGTGTCATGCACACAACTACTAATAGAAATAAAGAAGCTAAAAGTGAAGTGTCTATTGGTGACTTCAAAGCGCATGATTAGTTTCGCTACTTTGATATCAGTATCTTGGAAGTCATTGGTTCCTATTAAGGAGTTAAAAATATAAAAAGAAATTTTATTAGATAAATGTGCCTTTAAACATAGCTCAATCTTTTAAACAGCTTAGCCTGTTCAGTTTTTATATTCGAAACAAGCACCGTTCCGACCTAGGATTCATCAATGTGAAAATGTATTGAAAAATATACGCATTAAATTGTAGTTATTTATAAATAAAAATAAATAGGTTAATTTAAAAAAAAATAGAATTTATTTTTTAACTCCGCTACTGTATATCGTCAAAAATTCTTCTAAGTCTTTTAATATTTCAAGTAGGCATTAAAAAAATTTAAGAATTTACAATTTGTGTAAAATAAATCAAGAAATATTTTTTTTGAAGATGTGCAGTGATAGAAAGTCTAAAAAATTGTTGTTTATAATATATTTCCCGAAGTTATTAATAAAATTGATAAAAGTTACGTATGATATCTTCTATTCCTATAATCAGAATAATGTTCTTTTTTTTATAGTGCTTAAAAGTACTATATCTAGTTTTGTAATGTACTTATATAATTTTATTGCATATTCAGATTATTACATTCTTAATATGATTTTGCAAAAAAAGAAAAATTATTTTTTCAATTAAAAGCATTTTAATTTAAAAAAACAAAAAATTCAGTTTGCTTGCCAAAAAAACAACAAAGCTGTTATCTTTTTAACTTGTACAAGCTGTATTTAATAAAATCTTAATAGGTATATATATTTTTAATTTTTACAAACAAAAATTCTAAAACCTCCAAACTTAAATTAAATGTCAAAAATTTCAAGTCGTTAAAAAATATATTTAATTGCCAAATGCATTGTAAATAAATTTTGTTTATTTAAATGACAAAATTTAAATAAAATGATTTATTGTTTATACTACAAATACAAAAATTTATAAAGAAATTAAGTACTGTAAATAGTTGTTCTTTAACATATAATTTACAAATAATAAAATTAATTAAATTGATTTATTTGTTTGTAAATATTAAATAGGAATAAATAAAAAAATTTTACCCCATGAATATTTGAGACATAGAAAGGCGCTGGTCATTGATATTTAATATGAAATTGTATTATACACAATAACATTAATAGTTTGACCAAAAAGCACTGAAAATGTTAATATAACACACAAGTCCATGATGTTCTAAGTCGAGAGCATAATGGCAATACACCAATTACATTTGTATTTATAATTATAGTAGTGGATTATTGGTAGCTACATATCAATAATCCACTATAAATTATAGAAAAATTTGCAGTCTGAACGTTTTAATGACGAAATCTTCATACAATTGATTGAGTAAAACTATCTGAATATGATAGGTTCTACTCTAAAGGATTTTTATAGATTGTTTTATTTACATCTATAAAAAACCTTTATCTCGAATTTCACAATTGTTGTTATTTATGCCTTATGGGTTAAATTTTTTTATTTAAAACTTTAAGAAAAATATTTTTTTCATTTAATTTAAATGACAAACGAATTGTTCTTAAATTGCTTTTTTGACATTTGACTTTTAAATTAATAATTCTATGCTTAATACAACCTCGATATATATATTTACCTTTTCCGAATTTAATTAAAGTTTGTTTATTTATAAACAAAAAAGTAAATTAATTAGTAGCATTGCGTATTACAACATTACAAATTTAGTATACATTAATTATTGATAAAAACATTGTTTCTATCATTAAAGGTATACATTTCTGTATATAAACATTATACCTATTTAATTTATAAAATGCTTTGTATTAAGAAAATTAGTGTAATTATTAATCTTCTTTTATTAAGTTTTAAAATGTACAACTTTAAAATAATCAATAATTTTTACATAAGATCATTAAAGCATTTTTTAATTTATATGAGTATTTTGACATCTACAAAAAATTTTAAGGCTTTAATATTTTTATTTTAAATTTTGTAATTGTAAAAAAGATTTACTAGTTAACCACTTCACCATCGATGTACAAGCATAAGACAAAGATAAACCGTATATAATGACTTGAAGAAAAAGATGATAACTAAATACTACAAAGCCTATAGTAAAGATTTAAAATTGAATAGTATTTTGAAGCGTATGTGCAATACAGAGTGCTTCTAATATTTTCGAGAGATTGACAGTTAATTTGAGACGTGATTTTCTACCCTTTTAAGATAAAAGTCTAAAGCTAAAAATCAAATACACGAAAGAAAGATGCTGACGAGGAGGCACCTTACTTATAAAGAAGAGAAACTCAAGAAATATATACTCAAATAAATTTCTAAAAAAAATTGTTAATATTTTTATATTGTTTACAAAAATCACCCTATCTCTAGTTTGTTTTGTTGATATCATTTTTATTACATTTAAAATCTATTATCATATTTTTAAAAATTTATTAAATTTATATTTTGTGTTAATTTAAAAATATGGCAAATTAATTTTTTTAATTTATCTAACATATGAGCATTGGCTTTTAAGATTGGCTGTTTCACACTGTTGAGCCTGCAAAGGGTATAATTTTACACATTAATATTATAAAAATTATATCCTTTCTACTCATTTCTGTTTTACTTTTTTTAATCTATTAAATAATTTTTATTATAACATTTTAATCTTTTTAATATTTTAGTAAAAAATTTTTAATTTGAATAATTATAGATAAAAAGTTTTGATTAAAGCGCTTTGTAACTATACAAAAAATTTAAATTAGGCATATTCTTTATACACTTAATAAAATTCTATGATATTTTTATATCAAGTTGCTTGCATCAATTTAATTTTGTAAAATAATTCAGCTGGTTCAATCTGGTCACAGACCTTTGTCATAAAAATTTTGTAATTTCTATAAGGCGTTTTACTATAAACCATTACTTTTTAAAAAGATATAAAATAATTTTATCAATACACTTTTTGCTTTAAACATTCGTCTAAGATTTTATAATATTTTTACGAGGTCTTTTATTCATTTTTTAATACTTTTGCAATAAAAGATCTTTTTAAAGCTTGGAGTCGTAATCTTTTAATTAAAAAACCTATTTTTACCAGATTGACTTTTTTTAATATTATTATTATTATTTTGTTTGGTATGAAATTGTCGAAGATAGTTTGGCAGCAGTAATTTTTTAATGTTTAATTATTTATAAAAATTATAAGCTTTTTGTAATAGTATTTTTCTAGTTCCATCTCTTTTAAATCATCAGCATTTAAATTTAATGTTGTGATTTTATCTTAAATTTTTTTGTCAAAAATCAAAAATGTTTAAGGTTCTGTATTTTATCAATTAAATATTATATCATGATTTCTAGCAAAAAAATATGATATGGTTATTTAAAACACCAAATAAATTTATCTCTGTTATCGTAATTACTGTTTCAGCTTTGATTATTATTTTATGTAGCATAATTGGCAATAAAAACCTGAACACAAGAATATTTTATAATGCAAATGATAGCAAAAAAAATAATTTTATTAAGTTTTTATATCATGTATTGCAAAATAAACGAGCTATGCTTAAGGGGATAGACCTGTATTTAAAATACTTTTAAATTGTAGATAAAATTTTATTTTTATTATTGTAGCTATTCCAATCACTACAATTTACTCTCATTGCACAGTGTAAACTCTTTTCTATACCCGTTATTCTATTATTCTAATTTTTCTCTTTATCTTCTTTAAAATATTTATTTTTATTATTAATTTTTGATCCCTATTGTGGTAAGTTTTGACAATTAAGATGTAAGCTTCGAAATCAATGTCTTAGCAGAATGCTATGACAAAGTGCTTATAGTTTTTCTTGCTTGCTAATTTAAAATGCTGTTCATGAAAAAATTTAGTAGGCTAAAAAAAATATTTATATTAAATACTGTGTATAAAATTAAGCAATGTGATAGAAATAAAACAGAAAATAACCAAAAAATTTAAATCTTACGTACCAGATCAAATAGCCACGTCTTAAAATATTTTTAAAAAATTTTAAAGAGCTAGACACTTTTCTCTTTTTATTTACGTCGGTTTAATATAAGTTATTAAAATTGTCCATAAAGTAGCATTGGGTTATTTTAATTTGTAAACCCCTGTTATCTGTTGTTCTGTACTGAAGGGACGTTTACCATATTTTAAATAATATTCAGCTAAACTTTTGGATCAGCTGTGGGAAAAAACGTCTTTTGTTAAAATTTATAAATTTTTTTATACCTCCTAATATGACATTCCAAGATTACAGGAAGGTAATTATAAAGATAAACGCTAAAAAGTTAAAAAGCATTTTACAGTAATATTACATTTTAGTTTTGGAAATGGTATGCACTTAATGTAATCTCTATAGAGTTTTAAAGCGATTAGTAAGATTGAAACGAAGTTTCATAGGAATAGATAAAACTGCCCTTGAATAAAAATTATTTTAATGGATTTGGCGGATATTTTTTGTATTTTTCCCACAATGCAGAAAAAAATACAAAAGAGAAAAAAATGTGGTAAATACAACTTATTCAAATCTTTTATTGTTTTTTTATTCCTTTAAAGTTCCTAGAATCATGTCTATTACTGTCAAACTTACTACTAACTTTTTTTTCGAAATTCTTCTACCCTTCTTTTTGAAATTTATATTTTTGATAAAAAATAAAAAGAAGTCTATCAAACTAAAATAAGATAAAATAAGCCTTAAATTGGCTTATTTAAAGTGTGTTGTAGTATTCTGTACCACATTTTTCATTGTTTTATTCTGCTTTTTGAAAATAATAATGAACATAAGAAAAAGTAATTTAGCTATGAACAACAATATTATAAAAACTTTTCATCTCGTTCAGAAGTCGAATTTTTAATATTAGCGAAATGATATTAAAATTCTTTATTACTAGTAAGTTTTTCTTTTCTTATATTTTTTTTAGCATTATTAATGATAGATCATTAATATCAATTTTTATTAAAATTTGAAAAAACTTGTTTTTTTAAATTAAAACACATTCAAAAAATGTAAAAAAAACTTAAAATGAATATTTTTAATTAAAAATCTCAATTTTCGTTTTAAAAAATTTAAAGCTGTGTTGTAAAGCCTATTTTAAACTAAATGAAGAAAAAATATTAGATGCTTTTTTATTTATAATATAAGCGAAGAAAATTAATAAATAAACTATGTTGCATGCAACAATAAAAAACAGTCTTTTACTTAGAAGCATTGTTAGTGCGGTGGTTAAATCTTGTTTTGATGTTTAAAATAAAATCAAAGCAAAAAATCAATCTTGAATTAACTTGGTTTGACATAAAATTGTCATAAAATTTTTGTCTGTAAAGTCGTATCGTAAGCTTTCTTGTAGCCGTCGACTTAAGGTTGTAATATGCTAAAAGATGTAGAAGAGAAAAATCTTTGAGTCAGTGCGACAATCGCTGCAGCTGTGGAAGCATTTGTAGGTTCTATTAGTAGAACTTTAGTAAGAAAATTCATCTGAGGGAACCATCTGGGAAGGGTGTAGAAAACCAGTGAAACACTAGTTTTTCATAGGATGGTGAGAGTTTATCACGATCACTAGATCCATACCGTCTCAACCGACCATAAGATCTGGTGGTCGCTGGTCCTATAGCGTACTACCAGTTATCGGACCCTGTGATGTTTCTACTGAGATTGAAACATCTTCCTATTAAACAAAAGGTCCTTGTGGTTATGCAGGCTGGCGCTGATAATGTGCGTAGGTTGAGATTGAGTAAAAAAGAGTTTTATAAGAATATGAGGTTATAAGCAATAAGAAAGAAACAAAAAAGTAAGAAAATTAGTTTAAAACTAAATTAATAAATTCATGATGTATAATATAAAATCTAAAAAGGTTGTGTGTTGTTTAAAAACTATCTAACGTTATACTTTATTTCAAGTAAAATAATCAATAAATAAATAATTTTTATTATATTATCTTTCACCTAACACTTCTTGTGTATTATAAGACTATTAAAATTTATTAATTTTTAATGTACATACAAAAAATTATTATTTTTAATGTACATACAAAAAATTATTATTTTTAATGTACATACAAAAAATTATTATTTTTAATTAAATATATTTATTTTAAAAATCAAGGCAAATTTATTAAATTTGATTTATTGAACGTTTTGATATATTAAATTTTGGATCGTCATGGTTAGTAAAAAAACATTAATATTTTTTTACATCTTCCTTTCTATCAAATTAATTTAATGTATTATTCACCACATATCAATTGTTTTAATTTTTTTTAGACAATCAAAAATGCAAAAAATAGATATTATTTTACAAAAAATAAATCAGATAATTTTTAAGGCATGTAATATCATAAGAAAGAAAAATTTTTTAATTCAATAATATACTATTTTTTTATATTTATTTTTAAATAAAATATGTAAAAATCCCTTGTTAACCAATCTATTTTATAAGTATTTGAGCTTAAAGTATTAAAATAAAAATAACTTGATTTTTTACTATTTGCTATTGTGTTAAGATTTATAACTTTATTTTAGTAAAGAACTTTTATTATTAGAAAATTGAACTTCTTTGCCTCTTAACAGACATGATTTAATTTTCATATAAACCTATTTTGTATGCTAATCTTGTTTCTATCCTCTCCAGCATACTCAATTCTTTTTTTTCTTCTGTATTCCAGAAAAATGTTCTCAAAATTTTTCTTAAGAGTCACTGATTAGATGTACACTTCATTTTGATCTAATATTTTTAGCTTCTTTCTATATTTAAATGATATTTTCTCGTTGTGCTATCTCATATTAAAATATATAAGCTTATTTGTATTTTAACTCATTGGCTAACAGTTTGTATTTTCGTAACTTTCCTTTAAAAAAGCTGCCAAAAAACATTAAACCTATTTTAACTATAAATTTCTCCTTTGATTTCCCATCTATCACCACAATATTAGTCTTATAACTATTTTAATAAAATTTTTTTTTTCAAATGAAAAATCGTTAGGATATTATTCTCTAAATACGAAAGTGTAAATTTGTTATATAGCTTAATGAGCCAAATACTCCAAGTCAAACTACAAGTTGTTATTGATTTAACAATGCAATACAAAAATTCTTAATTTTTTAAGAAACTTTATATTGTAAAAAAAACGAGACGTAAGTTACAAACATTAATTTTTAAATATCATTAAAACTTTATGTAACGTATCGGTCATATGAATAGTAAAATAAACCCGACTTAATAGATTCATTCTAATATTACTTAAACTCAATTTGTAAATTAGCATCTGTTAAAAATTAAAAATTTTTTTTATAAAATCATATAGTTAATAATTTACGACTTTATAAATTGATAATTAACCAAAAATAATTATTAGTACTAATAACATAAGTAACCATTGCAATATAAAATCTAATTAATAAACTTTTGTAATTTTATATGACTTTTTAAATTTTTTAATCAATTAAATTATTTTTTCTTTAATGTTTCATAACATGGTTAATAATTTATGAGCTAAATTTGATCACTAGAATATAAAATTATATTTTTGTGCGTACTTTTTGCCATTTTTTAAATAATTATAAAATTCTACTAAATTTTTTAAAATGTGCAAAATAATCTTATCTTAAATGTCATTTCCTCTACAAATAGTTCTGGTAAACAAATGCGAATTATTTTATTTTTTAATGCAAATATTTCTATATCACATTTATTTAAAATATCAATAAACTTGACCTCTTCATTGATATTAAAACATATTTATGATTATTTATTATACTAGCTCTTTATGATTAAATAAATTTCATATTTATTATGGTCTAATAAATTTTATATTTTTCGTTAGGGCGGTAAAAAATAAATATTTTAAACAAAAATATTTAATGTACAATATTATACATTTAAAAAGTATTATAACACTCTTATATTTGTTATAAATTACTATCTTATTTTAAAATAAAAATCTTATAATATTTCCTTTATCTTTCATAACACTGTAAATTTGTAAACATCTATCTCCAATTTTTATTTTTAAATCTAAAATAACTTTATGACATTTTAAATATAAAAACCAAATCATAGTAAAATATTACAAATAGCTTTAATGAGATGCATAATTATAACATCTTATTCAAATAACCAATGTTATCTTAAATTTAAATAAAATGTTATACCTTTATATGCAATTTGTAAAAATAAACATTTTCATTTAATTAGCTATTTCTTATGCATTATTTAATAAAAAATTTTATTTAATTGCATAAACAAAGAATATTTAAAATAAATAATAAAACACTTTTATTTCTTTAAAATTATTTAATTATTATTTTAATACGTTTATAGTAAAATTACACCAGTATAAAAATACCTCAAAAGCAAATTTTATACTTATAAATTTGATTAATATTATATAAAATACAAGTATAAATTAAAAGTTTTTTAATTTATTATTGTCATCTAAAAATTTGTTTGTTTTTTACAAATTTTTAAATAAAAATGAAAATAAAAATATCTAAAAATAAAAGCATTTATAGATTTCATTTATTAAAATAATCATTTTGTGCATAAATAATATCAGTAAGTTTTATTTTAAAAGTTAATTTCTCCTTTATATTTTTTTTATATAGATTTATTTTACACCTTTTATAGGGGAATGAGTGTTGTATTAAGCGTAGAATTATTTAGTGATGCATTATTTGGTTTGATAAAACTGAAAAAAGAAGGAAAAACGTTACCAAATAGAAATAAAAAGACTAATGTACAAAATTATGTACTAAGAGGTGTGTTTAATAAAATAAAATATCCATCAACAGATACAAAAAAAGATATTGGGACACTGTTAAATTTAAGTCTTAAATCGATTAATGTTTGGTTTCAGAATGAAAGACAAACAATAAGATGTAACAAAAATAATAGATCTAGAAGTATTGAAGTTGATTCTAAGTTAATATTAGAATTGTATTTTAAAGCCTTGGAGCTTTATAATATTTGATTAATAAATAGATTTTAATGTATTTTATTGTTTATGACGTATTTGACAATTTTTTAACGGTAGTGTTAAATATGTTTACAGCTTAAATATTTATTTAAATATAAAAACAAAAAAATGTCAAATAAATCAAAATTGTTATTGGTTTAAATTTTAATTTAATATTTAATATATTCTATGAATAAGTAACTAATGTATCTAAAACTTTTTGTATATTACGCTATACTAAACATTTAGATCAATTTTGTTCATAAATAAAACTGGATTATTTTTTCATATTTTTTTAATCCATGCGCATAAAAATAATAATTTTTTACACCATTAGTTTAATAACTAAAAATCATGCATATTTTTTAAAACCAATATAAATAAATAACATTGTTAAAATTTGCTTATTTGTAAAAAACCAAACTATTAAAATACAAAAAATATCAATAAAAAATTTATTTTAATCTTTTAAAAATTTGGCGGCATTTAATCCCGCAATACATCCACTAGAAGCTGCGGTCACTGCTTGCCGATAAACTTTATCAAACACATCACCACAAGCAAATAGTCCTTTTTCCGCAGTCGTACAATCCTCGTTTACTTTAATAAACTTATCTTTGTCTAAAACATGTAAAAAATTTTCTTCTAAAAATTGAGTATTAGGTGTATGACCGATACCAAAGAACAATCCATCTACTTCTAATTTTTTAGTTTCTGCCCCATTTTCAAGGATAATATATTCTAATTTATCAATTCCATGGGCAGATTTTAGATTATATGGTGTAACTATAACTATATTTTTTGTCTTCTTTACTTCTTCTAATTTATCCTTCCTGCTTCTAAATTCATTTCTTCGATGAATTAAATAAACTTTAGAACATATTTTAGATAAAAATAAGACTTCTTCCATAGCAGAGTCTCCTCCTCCTATTACACATGCTATTTTATCTTTGTAAAAATATCCATCACAGACAGCACATGCACTAATTCCCTTTTGCCATAATTCATTGTCATTAGTTCCTTCTACGTACAATCTCTTCGCTGATGCACCAGTGGCTATAATAAGACATTTTGCTTTATAAATGTCACGTTTAGTGTACACATAAAAAATATTATTATTTTTTTGGATATTTATAACTGTTCTGTCAATTTGTCGTAAGTTAAAAGTTTTAGCTTGTTCATACATAATATCCATTAATTCAGGACCTTGTACTCCTGTAGGAAATCCAGGATAATTATCTACAAAAGTAGTAGTAGTTAACTGTCCTCCTGGTCCTATACTTCCTACCATCCCGCCTCTTAAAATTATAGGATTAAATTTTTTTGTGTAAATGGCAGCAGAATAGGCTGCAGGACCACTTCCTATAATTATAATTTCTTCAATCATTTAAAGGGTAAATTTAAACTAAAAATAAAAAATTAATAAATTTAATCTATTTCTTTTAAGTGCTCATCGGTCTTTTTAATAACTTTTTCACTTTGCTCTGTAACCCTATTAATATCTTTAATAGTAGATTTCTGTTTAGCGGCTTCTCTACTCTGTAATTCTGCTTCTTGTTTTATTCCTTTAACTGTATTCAATATTCCCACCAATTCTTTATCTGTATTATTCTGTCCAGGTACAAATTCTTCACCAGGATGAAATTCTTCTTCTTGAACAGGAGGTGCCTCTTCATAGTCATATTTTTTAGATTCAATTTCTTCTACTTCCTGACTACCACTGTCTCCTTTTAACCACCTACAAAACCTATCAAAACACGCAAACCGGCAACTAAAAATAGAACCTTCCCTTTCTATATCTTCAGCCAATTCTTCGCCTTTTTTTGCTTCTTTATGTACATTTATAGCACTCTTTTTTGCATTGTCAAGAACTTCCCCCTGTCTTCTAAATTCATCTGAGGCTTGTTTTTGTTCAATTGCTGCCTGTCCTAACTGCATTCTAATATCCTTTGCCTGTTCATAATTTTCTTCTTCAATACGTTTTGCTTCTTTTAATATACTATTATCTTGATCTTCTTCTTGTACAACTTTCTTTTTTTGTGCTTTTGAAATGTCGTACAGATCACCCATGAAAATAAATAAAAAATTAAAATATTTAAACATAAATTGATTACCAAATTGTTAATAAAAATACAAAATAAGACTATAAGTGAATTTATAAAGAAAAATAAATACATATTAATTATCAATATAAGAAAAGAAAAAGGATAGAATATATAAAAAATGTATAACAATTTTTTTGTAAATATAAATTAATGAAATTTAGATATTTATATATGCATTTATTATTTTTAGCAATAAGATTCTAAATAGCGATGTTTTATTGTTTTACAAGTTTTGATTACATCGATATAAAAATATTTATACATTTATTAGAAAGTTCTACCATATAAAAGTAAAATATTTTTACATTTATATAGTTTAATATAAAATAAAATCAAGATGATTTTATTTTAATATTATTATAAATAGATATATTTATAAATTAATTCTAGTAAAAATATCAATAAATTTATCAATATTACAATTAATTAATAAATTGTCCCCTCTTTTAATGTAATTTATGCTATTAATAAACTCTTGTACATCTTTTCTGATTTCAATATTCATTCTATATGACATATTTATTTTTGTTATCTCATATGGTGTAATACATTCAACAGGTTGTAAAATGGTATCAACCAAATAATTATTTTTATGATCTAACATATTGTAATAGTCAGTGCCATATTTATATTCATATTCTAATAACTTACTGTGACCAATATTATACTTCTTTGAAAACATCTGCGCATTATTATAATCATTAATTCTTAATAAAAAATTAATTAATTCATTTTTTAAATATTGACTATCTGTATCTTCTATACCGCAAGTATAAATTTTAGTAACTATATCTTTATCTTTAGAATAGATAAATTCATAATCTGCTATATTTTTATAAATAATGTCATTAAGGAGTCCTTTAATTTTGTAATTTATAAATTCTTTCCGAAATTTATAAAGGCCTTCTTTCTTAAGAATAAGTGTCAAATAATTCATAACAAGAACATATGAATACTGTGGTATTGATTCATCAATAAATTTTGTTGATGATAAATCACTAATACTAAATAATTCTAGATTTTCTTGTAATCCCCTGCTGTAATAATAAATTTTTAGAAAAATGCCAGCAACATTCTTTATACCTAGTTCCACAACTTTGCGTGCATCATCAAGCCTTTTATTTTTTATTAAATATTCACTATACAGAAAATACACCTCCTCGTCTTTAGGATTAAAATATAATGCCTCTTTATACAAAAAATTAATTCTTTTAAAAAGTTCTTCTTCGTTAAGTTTAAGGGGATTTTCCATCTCATATAAAATATCTTTACCTTTTTTAACCTGATTGTACACCGAAAGTGTATTCTGATAAATATGAAAAGATTCTTGTAGAATCTTCTTTCCCTGAATTTTATTGGTGTCCATCTCAAATTCCTCATAATCATTATATAGCTCATGAAGACCGTGCATAGGAATCTGAATAATAAAAAAGAAAGTATTTCTTATTTTTTCTATTTTAGTATTTTCATCTGGCAATTTTACTAAAATACTAAGATATTGTTTAAATAATGGTGCACTATTTATACTGTATCCAATATTAATGAGAATCTTTTCTAAAAGTGTAAGATCTAAAGAAGATTTCAAATGTGTCTGTATAACAGAAATATCGTAGACTTGAAGAATAGAAGTATCATCTAAGGTGATATCGTGGACAGTATATTTATTTATAAACATAATTAGGGGATAAAATATAAATTTTTAGTAGAAGAAAATGCTTGCCACTTTTTCAACTTAAGCAGAATTCTTAAATTTATAATTTGTTTTTTAAAATTCATACTAATATTGTTGTTAGCATTGATTATTCTGTAAAATCTTAATAAACTATAATGTTTGTATGACAATCTTATAAATTATTTATTTTATTTTCAAGTATCGTTCAAATGTAAATTCAAATTTTGTTTTCATGTATCTTTCAAATGTAAATACATATTTTGTTATAATATTACCCTAAAATATGAAAATATTTACTAACTTAGCAGAATTATATTCTTATTTTTCACCATCTGAAGTTTATTCTAATTTTATAAAATACAAAGAAAATTTTATATCATCAGATATCACTGATGAAAATGTATTACTCTGTTATAAATATACATTTTTTTATCTGTATACAAAATCTAAAGTTAAGTACAAAACATTTTGCAGTGGAATTATTAAAGAAAAAATATTTAAAGCTTGTTTATCAGAAGTAAAAAGCAATTTAAAAAAATTTGTTCCTCTGACAAAAACTGCCAGTAAAAAGGAACATGTTCCTGTATGTAATTTATATTCTGTTTATAAATATTCTTGAATTTTTTATGAGATAGTCTACCTATTAAATTTTTAAATATTTTTCTTCTAGTTGTTTGATTTTGAATATTGTTAATAATTATTTTATATTATGTTCTTAAATGTTATTAATTTATACCCTAATTAATGACATCGCCTTTAGCTTCAATCACAACAGATTTTGAAAATCTTAAAGAATATTTTATAAAATATAAAAAATATATAACAGGCATTCTGGGCTATAAAATAGATCTTAAAGATGATAAAATAATTTTAAGTTCTTTGTATTCTTTTGATAGTGAAGATCTTTTGATTTTTAATATTAATAAAGAAAATCTTGAACTTGTTAATAATTCTTTTGCTAGCCAATTTAACAACGAAATACAAATATACTTAATTAAAGGTGGTAGTGTTCCTGCATTTTTATCTGCTGTAACTTTAAATTTATTTAACCAGAAGACATTTACTTAATTAAATTATATTTAACAACATGAACTCTTTATTCTTTTTGTTATTAGGAAAGACATTGACTTACTAGTTAAATAACTACATATTATAAAAATATTACCTGTCATAGTAAGCATCATAACTAAATAATTAAAGAAATAATAATATACTAAAAATAGAGAGTATTTTATATCACGAAATAAATTATATTTCTTCTTCTTTTGTAATCGAACAATTATTATTTCATTTAATATTATTACAATAAACAGTGTAATATTTAATGTTAAAAATCCTAATGGTGGTATATTATTTTTTATAAAAACATTTTTCAGTGATGTATCTGTATTTAATAGAATTGAGCAATGCATAATTTTATCAATTTTTTACTTCTATTTATATTTTTTTTGCATAAACTAATAAATTTGTAATTTTTTTATTTTATTTCAATTTTTTTTATCCCCTAAAATGTTTATACCTGCCATTTTTGTTTCGCACAGAAGAGCTTTAAGAAGAATAAGACATACACAGGCTTTAATTAAAATTAATAATGTTGTTAATAAAGAACAGGCTAAAAAATATATTGGTAATGTGGTGGTTAGTAAAAGGTTTAATAATGATAAATCTACAAGAGATGTAGAAGGTGTTATTTTGGGCACACACGGTAATAAAGGGTTAGTAAGAGTAAAATTTGAAAGAAATATGCCGCCTAAGAGTGTAACTAATATAGTTGAAGTACGATTAGTTAAAAAAGAAATTAAATAATTTAATATTTTAAAACTATTAATATTTAATAAACATCTGTAAGAACATCATAAATACTTTTAAATCTCAAGATATCCCTTCGATTTTTTATTTTTTCATATTCGCCTAATCCCATTTTTTGACAATAATTCTCAAATGTATATTGTAGTTTTAATACATGTAAAAAATATTGATAACAGTCTTTTATTACAAAGGAGACTGGTGCACCAAGCATCTCATAATTTTCTACATAATTATATCTGGTTGATAATGTAGAAAGTGTTTGATATTTTTCAAACCCTTGGATTTCTAGTAATCCCCTAGTTTTATACATGCCTTTATCCCAGTTATCAACAAATTTGTTTAAAAATGATGTATTATGTAGTGCAGCCGCCATAAATAACACAACGCTATCTCTTTCTTCATATTTAATTACTTCGTAGATATTTTTAAGAATCTCTTTATGAATGTTAGTTAAATCGACAAACGCTAAACTGGTTTTTTTAATAAAATCCTTTAGTGAAGTAAATTCAGACTTTGTTGATTTTAAAATAAAAATACAAATACAAAAATTCATTCTATGGGTTGTTAACTAAATTTTAAAAACTTTTATAAATTAAAATTTTAAAAAAAATAACTTTTTTTAATTAATATAATACGATTTTAAAAAAATTCATAATTTTGATATCTTACATTGTATATTATATTTTTATAACAATACATTTTAGGGCCGACTTATGGACATTCAATTTTCATACTTAGGTAAATGGATCAATTAAAAAGGCATGCTTACTTTAGAAGCATAAATTGCAAAAAGCAAAAAAATATTTAATAAATTTTTAATCAAAAATCTAAATTTACCATTTTTTTAAAATTTATCTGCAGATTTAAAGCCGTATTGCACAAAGGAATATAACCAAAAAATAATGCATTCCTTTTCAAAAAAGTTATTTTGTTATCTATTCTTTGAAAAATTTTAATTTATAAATCAAATAAAAAAGGATTAAGTTAAAGATATACACCCACATAAAAAGTTATATCCTGTTTTCTTTTTTGACAGTTAAAGATGTAAACTTTCTTTTTTATAGCTCAAAAGATGCATCAAAATTTAAAGATTTTTCATGGTTTTTAATTAAAACACCATTTAATTCAAGAATAAAATATTTGTAAGTAATTAAAGTGGTCATTTTTTCACTATACATTATTAATTATTTCAAAATCTGTTTCTTTTATTTCTGGAAGAATAAGTCTTTTCTGTGGTTTTTTATATCGAGGATTCATCCTAATACTCTTTTCTGGTTTTATTGACTTTAAAATGTGGAAAAAATAGTATAAAATTACTAATATTAAAAAAATAAGTAGTATCTGTACACTTCTTAGATAAAACATGAAATCAGTTTGTAACTTTAAAAATACAAGAAATTTTCAAAACATCTTTTGTTTGATAAACATTAAAAATATAAATTTTAAATTAAAATTAAACAAGAGTATAATTTCTTATAGTAGATATTTTTCTCGTGATTCGTATAAGCCAATGTCTTTATGTAGTTAAGTTTTTCAAAGTTCTACAACGCAACCCTTTACGACTTTCTAATGTTGATTAATGTAGTCTGAACAGTACATGGTGCAGCCATTCCTAGAAACACGAAATCATCGCTACTTGTCGCAAGCGAATTGGCTTTTAAGACCAAAAAATTATTACTTTGGTGGTAAATTAAGAAGGATATAAGTTTATTTTATTTTAAAAGTATATATGTCTCCTTTTGTAATCTAATTCATATATAAATTGCTCATAAACCCTGTTATCTCCAAATCTAAACATCACACACGAAATTATTCTTAAATTTATTGTTCTTTTGTTTAATTTGATTATTTAAAGTTAAAAAAAATATTAATTGTATGAAAGAATTTTTTTTTTCTAATTCTCATATGCTAATAGGTTAATTTTTATTGTATTTCAAATACCCCAGCAAATTCTAATTTTACGTGGTCGTTTGCTATCTTAAATGTTTTGCAATATCTTTCCTAATGATGTCGTATTGATAGTATATCTCCGATGAACGTTTCTAATGCTTTGTGATACTTTCTTGTGTTGTTGTGTGATAGCGTTGTGTTGCATTGGGTATCTAAATAGTTTAAATTATATAGACAATTAGTTTACAAATGTATAATTGTATATTACTTTAAATTAAATTTTTGTCCTTGACTACACAGGAATATAAAAGACGTAAATATTGCCATTAAAAATTTAATTACGTTCTCATTTTTGCAAATATTCCTTGCACTAAAAAAAGCTTTACGTTGATTTTTATCATTATAATTCTGGTAATAACTTATTCCACATGTATATATTCTTAATTCAATAAATTAAGATGTTTGTTTGTTTGCAATATACCACAATTATGCAACAAACAAATAAAACTATAAATAGGGCCAAGTTCCAAGAAAAATCAAATATCCATAATGGCCAACCAGAAAAATGAAAGGATAAATAAAATATTAAATAGTATTAATTTTAGAGGTACAGGCAAACCTCAAGATGACATTCAGTCTCATTGTACTAGTTTTTTTCTTTTCTAATAACAATTTATTTGTTTATTGATTCTTATTGGAGAAACTTTAGTTCATCAAATTTATTTAAGCACTCACAAAATTTTTCAGATTAATTATACATCATAGTCTTTATAATTGTTAAATTTTCAGCTAATCTTTTGTTCATTTTTGCTATATTTTTTTATTAAGCTCAATCCTTCTCTTAGAAAACTCATCTTTCCTCCCTCAATCTCAACACAGCGCATTATCAGTGCTAGCATGCCACAAGGGTCTTGCCTAGTAAGAAGGTGTATTAATCCCCGTAAGGACCTTACAGAGGACTTGACAATTGGTAGTATGCTACCGGGCCGGAGGCTCATTAGATCTTGTGGTTGGATAAGGCGGTATGGGCCTTCTAATGCCCGTGATGAACTCTCACATCCTGCACAAAACGCTAGAAGCTTCTCTAGCTTGCTACGCCTTCCCAGGCGGGTCTTCAGGTGGAGTTTCTTACATAAGATTTCCGAATACGACTTGCAAATGCTTCCACAGCTATGGCAATTGTCGTACCGACCCAAAGATGTTATGTCTACTCTACATCTTTTAAGTACATTTACAACCCTTAGTCGACGCCTACAAAGAAGCTTACAATACGACTTTACCGACAAATATTTTGTGACAATTGTTGTGTTAACGTTATACTGTTACTTAGCGGATTTGAATTGCTGGTATTTGAAGCCATATCCCTCGAGCATCGGGACGAGACATAACCACTGCCCTAATGATGCTTCTCTACTGCATACGTGTGAATGGGAGATGTCTCTCCATTGGGCGCTTCACTAAAATTACGCCAATAATGTACAACTATTTTTTTCTATCTGATAATTAAAATTTTTTAGTAAAGTTTCATATTTTATTAAATAAAATTTTTTTACAACTTAATATTTTGTAAACAAAAAAACTTAATAGCCAGCGAAATTATAATTTCAAATTAATATGAATAGCTTAAAGATTTTATTACACAATATATCTTTATAATGTTGTTTTGCGTCACTGAAAATCAAGAAACTAATTTTATCAAATAGCAAAAAAAATGATACATTAAATGTAAGTTGGTGAATAAATAATAATTAAAGTAAATTAGCTTAGACAAAACTACGCTTTAAATTTTTTTAAATTATTTTAATTAGTAAAAATCCTTATAATATTTAGTAAATATAATCCTACCCCCATATCAAGTACTGAAATTCTGTCACCAAATTTATCAGCTTTTATAGCATAATTCTTTAAAATATACTGTATTTTATCACTGTAAATGCCACTAAACACAAAATTTTTTATTAGATCCTTATTAGCACAAATTAATCCATCAATAACATCTATAGGACTGTCACGATAAATTTCAGAATACTTGTAGCTGAAATACGCCTCTTTAATGTTTTTGGCAAAATTCTCTACAAACAATACATTTTTATTCGTACTTTTTAGTAAATTTTCTATCCTTCTTAGTCCTAGTTTCGTAAACGTAGAAAAGGGCACGCTTTGTAAAGTGTAATCAGAAGACAGTCTTTCTTCATAAATTGTATTGATTTTCGACCATGGTTGCACCTTAATATGTACGTTATTAATTTCGAATGGTATTTTTATTTCTTTAAGATATCCAATAGGTAATTCGCTACATTCCCTAAATGTGAATAATAAGCATATTAAGACTACCTTAGTATAACCAGATAAGCTTGTATTGTGATTAATTGACATTAAAACATTAAGATCACTACTATAAGGCGTTTTTCTGGTGTTTGTAAATTTTTGGGAATAAAATTCGTTTACAAAGATATCTAGTAAAAGTGGAAAATCTTCAAACATATTTTCGTTTAAATGCTTCACGCTTCGAGACCGAATGAATTTATCGACATGCGAGTTATAACTAGAATCCCCATCATTTGTAAGACACAGATTAGGTTTTTCATTACAAGTACTATTATTCGTTGATTCATTACAAGAGCTTACACAAAAATTATTATCAAAACTTGTTTCTACTTCTGCAGATTTTAATTTACAATAAGTATCTAAATCGGAAGAGCATCGTTTTAAAGCATTTTTTGGTTTATAATTAGCTTTAGCTAAACAAGAATAATTATTATCCGATTCTTTTCTGCTTAATGGCGATATCTCAGTTATCTCTTCTTCATTAAAACAAGGGTTGTAAGAGATAGATGCATTTTCTACTGTTAATTCGTTTAAATTTACCTTATTTTTTGTACTAATAGCTTCATCTGAATTTTTACTATCTGATGACGAATCCCTATTTTCATTCAAATATTCATTCCCGTCGCACAGACACGTTTTGTTTTCCATTGTTTCCTTATCAGTAAGATTTTTATATACTTGTAGTGTATAATAAATTGCTCCAATAGAAATGACTCCTGCTACAATTAAAAAAGTATTTCTGAAAATCATTTTACGGGTAAAATTTAAAGTTTTATTTAAAAAGAGAATAATAAAAGGCTTATTAAAAATCATATCTTAAATGTATGACAAGCTGTATTTTATTTACAATATTTTAAAATAATAATCTAAGAATTTAATTTAATTTATAGTCAGTGCAAAATGGGCTGCGTGTTATTTAATATATTTGCGTCCGCGTTTTTAATTAATGTGTTAGTAAAATACTTTTTTAAAGATTAATACTAATTAGTAGATAATTGTTATAAAGTGACTAATACGCTTTTTCACAAATACATGATAATTGCATTAGCTATTACTTTTGTAAATTACCGTAACATTGCATTTTGCTAGTTGTTTGCTCAATTAATTTTTTTTATATTTTACAAAATATGGTAAGAAAAAATAGCAATTAATTCAACTGTTTTAGTGTAAACTTTATTTAAAAAATTCATTGTGTTTAAATTCTTATGTTTAATTTATCAGCGTAAATAAAAATTAAGAAAAAGTTTTTATTTAAAACCGGGAAAAGAGCAATAACAAAGAAAGAAGTCATTTATTGGTTGAAATTAAAATTGGCCGTACAAAGTAATCTTTGATATATGAGCTTGATACTATCCTTATTAAAGACTTCAATTTTCTTTAAATTTAATGTATAACAATTAAAAAATATTTGAAATATGTTTAACAATATAAATGGAAAGTTTTTGAATACTAAAATTAAAAATAAATTTATTTACATACAAATTCTACATAAATAAAACAATATAGCTTAATTGTACTTACATTTTCAATTATCAAAAGGCATCATAAATAATTAAGCTATGATTTATATATGATGTTAAAAATCTCAAATATAAATATACAGTAATAAATCAGTAGAAATTTAAGTATGATTGCAGTCAAATTTCCTAATTAAAACGGATTTTTTAACCTTCTTAATTAAAATGGAATTCTCGGTTTTACAAATATATCAATCTTGTAAATGTCAAACCTTTTAATTGTCTCATTTATTAAATTAAAAACTTGGCTCTTAATATTTAACGCATCAGCATTATTTTTGGAAAATCTATATTTTTAATAATAAAATTTTAAAGTAATTTTTTCGTTTTTTATATAAAAATTTCGAAAGTGTTTACCCCATGCTCTTAAATAGATATTATAATCAATTTAGAAGATTATTGTTAAACACTGTAGGTTATATTACATCTTACACCCTACAACCCACTGATGTAAATATGTATAATCCGATGTATCACATTGATATTGATCTTTATTACATAAAAATGAGCGATGACGATCTGACTATAAATAAGGGCTTTGAGTTAAATAAAGAAATAAAATCTGTTTCTCTCAGTGATCCACTTGAAGAGATTATTGTATCTACATTGTCAGTGATTGCGTTTAATAGTTTGACTCGTAAAAGGATACTTATAGTTTTTGATGATGATATGGCGGTTGATAAGAATCGTTCAAGTTTTTTAGTTAGCCTTTTTAAAGGGCTTTCTTTTTTGCGCTCAGAAATTATTACTAAGACGTTTGATACAAAAAATGAACAGATTAGAATGTGTGATGTGCCTTTAGCATTGTGCTTAATAAAGTTCTTGGATCTAACTTATTGCTTAAAACAATCGGATCCGTATGGTACATTTAGAAATATAGAAGAGCCAGTTTTGGACGTTACAGGATTGACCAAATTCCTAAATTCGAGTTTCAGCCAACAGCAGTATCTCGAATTATTGCATTGTGTGTATGTAAAAAATAATTTTTATGTTTTATTTGGTAAAGAAGGTATACAACTATATGATATGCTTTCGAGTTATTCTGATGAAAATAAAGGCAATGAATGTAATTTAGATTTTAAAGAAATTGTTAAAACATTATTTAGGGTTGGAGAACATTCCGACAAAAATTCACTCTTAATTTTTTCAGATCTTGTTAAATATGTTCAGGTGACAGATAACAGAAAATTAATTGAATATTTACACAGAGGTAAAGTGGACATTAAAAACAAGGTTTTTACATCTAATAAGTTTGAAATTATCGTTGATGACGTTATTGAAACATCCTCTAGGAGTGATGACAACTCAATATATTTTTTGCAATGGAGAAATCAACCCGTTAAAGAGGTTAATGAAAGGCGTGAATATGTTTTTACATTACTAAAACAAAGAATTGATGTAACTAAAAAAAGGTTTAATATGTTATTGATACGAATGAAAAATTTATATGTTCCTGATATAGGTTATATTGGAAGTACGGACGGTGGTTTTAACGCCATGGCTACTAACATGATTAATTATACAAAAAGTTTTGTATCAAATTTAATTTTTCCTACGGAGGGGAATACATTAGACTTTATACAACAACTTGATCATAAAATGTGTAATAAGTGTGAACGGCTGTTTACCAGACGAATGTTTTTTGATATGGACAAGCCTCAAAATTTGAAGGAAGAGTTGGTAGCTTTGCTTGAAGAACCAGATTGTATAACTAAATATATTTACAGCCTTTTAATTAATGCTAATATTTTTCCGCAATTTCCGAGATATGAAGGTTTTGCACGAAATGATGATCTGCTGCCAACCTGTAAATTCCCTAGCAATTTTCCCGTAACAGAATGTCGAGGTGAGAACTTGCAAGCTACTAACGAAGAATTACTGAAACTTGATATTAATATTGATTTATATGCATTACATTTTGTAAAAAAATTTTTGTATTTTAGATACGAAGGGTTTTATTTATTAACTTGTTTGCAATTCTATAATTATAAGAAGTATAAAGACATAGCGCGTTCGGAGCTAAAAAAATCAAGTGAAGATTTTGAAAATGAAAAGATTTGGAGAGTTCCATTTCGCAGATTGACATATTTTGCTAAGATAAAAGGTTTTTTTTCTGATCATAGCGAAACATTTTTTGATGGCGAACCACACAAGGACAGAGTTAGTCAGTTCTCTAGTGATGTAGTAAATGGATGGATTGATTTTACAGGACCTAATTACCAGCTTGTTAAACAATTTAAGGATAGGAAAACAGAAGAAGAATACAGCGAAATGACAGCTACGGGAGAAGAAAGTTATTAAACGATATTTATTATTTTAGTAATTTTTATGACAAAAACATTTTCAGTTAATATTTACAAAACAAAACTGTTGTCTGAATAAAATAGTGCAACTTCATTTACAGGCCCAATGTTAATGATTAAATTTTTTTTGTAAAGTTATTAATTTGGCAATTCAAAATGTGACATCAATATCAACAAAAGATTCACAAATCAAATATGCCATAATTTTGACCTGGGGGAGGTCAGGCATGATACTGTTGCTGTATCGTTCCGCTGAACTGAGTTGTGTTCTTAAATGGTGTATTGAGCCA